CTGTCTTCCATGATTTCCCAAAGATGATAGCTAAAGGCTCAGATACCTCCTCTATCAGCTCCTTGAGTATTCTAGGATGCATTTCATCAGGCCCAGGTGACTTGCAGACATCTAACTTTTCTAAGTGATTTTCAACGTGTTCTTTTTTTATTTTATCTTCTAAACCAACCCCTTTCCCACTAGCATTCACTGTTAGGCATTCCTTCTTCAGACTTCTCAGTGAAGACCGAAACAAAGAAGTCAGGGTATGTCTACACTACCACCCTAGTTCAAACTAGGGTGGTTAATGTAGTCATACGGAGTTGCAAATGAAGCCTGGGATTTGAATTTCCCGGGCTTCATTTGCATGATGCCGGGCGGCACCATTTTTAAATGTCCGCTAGTGCGGACTCCGTGCCTGCGGCTACACGTGGCACGGACTAGCTAGTTCGGACTAGGCTTCCTATTCCGAACGGCTCCCGGGGGCACGGACTAGCTAGTTCGGACTAGGCTTCCTATTCCGAACTAGCTGTACACCTCGTGGAACATTTAAAAATGGCGCCGCCCGGCATCATGCAAATGAAGCCCGGGAAATTCAAATCCCAGGCTTCATTTGCAACTCTGTATGACTACATTAACCACCCTAGTTCGAACTAGGGTGGTAGTGTAGACATACCCTCATTGAGCATCTCTGCCATTTCCAAGTTTCCTCTTACTGTTTCTCACTCCTCACTGAGCAATGGACCTACCCTGTCCTTGGTCTTCTTCTTGCTTCTAATATATTTATAGAATGTCTTCTCATTTCCCTTTATGCCTGTAGCTAGTTTGAGCTCGTTTTGTTCCTTTGCCTTTCTAATCTTGCCCTTTGAGTACAGCTGGCTTAGGATTTCATCCTTTGTAATTTGTCCTACTTTCCATTTTTATGAGACTCCTTTTTTATTTTTAGATCATGCAAAATCTCGTGGTTAAGCCAATGTGGTCTTTTGCCATATTTTCTATCTTTCCGACACATCGTTGTTACCAAAAGTTGCTCCCCCTAACTGCACTGGCCAGGTGAGTTAGATGGGGGAGAAGGGGGGAGCCGGGCTTCTGCAGATCCGGATGATGCTCCCATGTTGACAAGACGAAAACCCGGGGTCCCTCTGCAAGATGCCTCCTATTTATCCCTCTCCTGCAGCCAATTAGTCATCAACTGGCCTTTCTTAATGCTGCTTCAAAGAGAGTTCTTCCAAGGGCAGGCACTTGCTGCTTGACTCCCAAGGGTCTGTATGTCCAGTCTCCTTAATGAGCTCACTTTTCAGGTATTGTCTTGGGTCTGGCTCCCAGACCTTCTCCACCCTTGCAACTGCTGCTGGAGGTGCTCCCCTTTCATTCTTCATTCACACCTCATTCATTTCAACAGGGCAATCAAGGAAAGGGGAGAGCTCAAAAGACATTTTTTTTCTTACAAGATCTATATATCTAAATACAAAGTTCTAGGAGAAATGTTACAGAGATTCTATAAGAACACTTAAAGATATATCTAAAAGGACAAGATCTTAATACAAAGTATAATATCACAGAGATTTCTCCACATGCAAAGCAACTCGGAGTTAACTTTCCCATTGGCCTTTCTGCCAATGTCATAGTGCCTGCCACATGCAACTCTAGATGGGCATGCAGAACAGCTTTGTCCCAGTAAAATCTTGGCTGGGTTCCTTCCCCTCCCTCCCGCCACCCTCCCTGGGGCCTGCTGGCAAAGCCTGTAGGGAAGATACAGAACTTGGCTGCAGTGATGTGAATGGGGATGCTGTTGGATACAGATACAACATACGGTTCCACCTGGCTTCCTCGCTCCGGGATGGGCAATAAAACAGGGATGGTTCACAAGGGTTAGGCCCCGGTGGGCTGCTGCTGCTGCATTTACCCGCAACTCCGCAGGGACAGGAGATCTCAGCTTCCATGGGCTGGGAATGGTGAGCCGGGGCCATCTAGACTGCCATCGTGTTCTTTCGAAATTAAATCGAAAGAATGCGGCAGTTTTCTCGATATTGGTAAACCTACTTTTACAAGGAAGAATGTCTTTTTTTGAAAGAGCTCTTTCGAAAAAAGGTGTTCTTGAACGCAAACAGGGCTTTTTCGAAAGAAAACATCCAGATTGCCTGGGTTGCTTTTTCAAAACTCTTGTGGCTGTCTAGACAATTATCAGAGGGGTAGCCGTGTTAGTCTGAATCTGCAAAGGCGATGAGGAGTCCTGTGGCACCTTATAGACTAACTGAAGTGTAGGAGCATAAGCTTTCGTGGGCAAAGACCCACTTCGTCATGCATCTGACGAAGTGGGTCTTTGCCCACGAAAGCTTATGCTCCTACACTTCAGTTAGTCTATAAGGTGCCACAGGACTCCTCGTCGCCTGTCTAGACAATGTCTTTCGAAAGAGGCTTGTAGTCTAGACGTACCCTCAATAGAGAACTGGGCTTGACTGGGACACCATCAGCGATCGATTTAGCAGGTCTAGTCCTTACTAGGCCCACTAAATCAAACTTGAGGAGATCAATCTCTGGAGTATTGATCTGGAGGTAAGTGAAGACAAGCCCTGGGTATGGCCATATCAAGAGGACCCACATTAGTATTTTAAAAGTGCTCAGCTGCAGGATGGGTGGAAACACTCCTCTCACAAGTTTTCAATGGATTTTCTTTTTTTTTTTTTTTTGAGAATATGAACCAATCCATGGAAAGCACCTCTTTGCCAGAAAAAGTTTGATTATTCATTGTAGGACAAGACCGTGAGACATGTTTTTTGCAGGGGGCAGAGGGGAGTGGGGAATTGGGGGAGGTGATGAAAAGTTATTGTGCAATTGCACACTTTACTTGTGCAAACTTGAATTTTTCTGTGAGGGGGGAAAAAAAACCTCATTTCCTGACCCGCTCTGCTCACCTCCCAGCATGTCGACCGAAAAGAAATCGGGCGCTGAGGTGGTGTCCTTAAAAACAGTGGCATAGTCCTGGGAGGTCATCCGGCACTTTGCAGAATCAAGGTCTCAGTAATTCTCTGCCTCAATTCCTTGTGCATAAAAACGCCTCTCTTCTCTAGCAAGTTTTCCAGGGCAGGACTATCTTACTGCAGCATCTGGCATAACAGGTCTCTGATCGGGACTGAGACCTCCAGCGACCCTTGCAACTAGACAAACAATGGCAACCAGAATGTGTCCTAACCCCCTTTTAAAGGGCTCCACTCTGTGTAGTTACCTCAGCTCAGCCTGCCTTTCAGTAACTCCTCTGCACGCCCATGACTCCCCAGACCCTCCCATGTCCACCCTGGAGCTCTCTCCAACATGCACCAAAATCCCATCAGCCAAGAAAGAAACATAGAATCATAGAACACTAGATCTGGGAGGGCCTCAAGAGATCATCAAGTCCAGTCCCCTGCCCTCACGGCAGAACCAAGCACTGTCTAGATTGTCCCGGATAGAATCATAGAACCATAGAGCTGGAAGAGACCTCAGCAGGTCATCAAGTCCAGCCCCCTGCCCAAGGCAGGACCAATCCCAACTAAATCAACCCGGCCAGGACTTTGCACATTGAGACTTAAACACCTCTAGGGATGGAGACTCCACTACTTCCCTAGGGAACCCATCCCAGTGCTTCACCACCCTCCTAATGAAATAGTTTTTCCTAATATCCAACCTGGACCTCTCTCACCACAACTTGAGCCCATTGCTCCTTTTTCTGTCATCCATCACCACTGAGAACAGCTTCTCTCCATCCTCTTTGGAACCTCCCTTCAGGAAGTTGAAGGCTGCTCTCAAATCCCCCCTCGCTCTTCTCTTCTGCAGACTAAACAGACCCAAGTCCCTCAGCCTCTCCTCATAGGTCATATTCTCCAGCCCATTAATCATTTTGGTTGCCCTCCACTGGACCCTCTGCTGTCTGTCCAGGTGTCTGTCCAACCTGCTCTTAAATATCTCCAGTGATGCAGATTCTACAACCCCCCTAGGCAATTTATTCCAGTGTTTATCCACCCAGACATGCAGGAAGTTTTTCCAAATGCTCCCTAGAAACCTCTCTTGCTGAAATTTAAGCTCATTGCTTCTTGTCCTATCCTTAGGGTGTGTCTAGACTACAGGTTTTTTTTTTTTTTTTTTTTTTTAAGTGGCCTTTTTTTGAAAAAACTATGCCTGCGTCTAGACTACCACCATGCTCTGTCGACAGTAAATGGACAGAATGCGGCGGTTTTGTCGACGGCAGTAAACCTCATTCTACGAAGAATAATGCCTTTTTTCAAATGTCATCTTTCGAAAAAAGGCGTTATTGCATGAAAACAGGGCTTTTTCGAAAGAGACCATCTAGACTCTCTTTCAAAAAAGTGAACGGATTTTTCAAAAAATCTTCTTGTCTAGACGCTTTTTTTCGACAGAGGCTTTTTCGAAGGATACTGTTGAAAAAGCCTCTGTTGAAAAGGCGTGCAGTCTAGACTTAGCCTCAGAGGCCAAGGAGAACAATTTTTCTCCCTCTTCCTTACTAAACATCTTGCAAATGTTCATCGCGCATCCCCTCCCTGCCGTACATCGCAGGCTGGTCCCGGGGGAGTTACTTTCCCTGGGTTAGACCGTCAATCTGTTGGCTTGCTGCACAGCTTTGGGTTGGTCACCTCCCTTCACCATGCCTCAGTTTCTCCCCGTCTGCACACGAGCGGCGTTTATCCTTGTGCCTAGCCGTTCGAGGCCCGCTGCTGGAAAACCACCACCCATAGACACAAGCCCTGTATTGTGCCTTGAAAATTAAACGCGGCACAATGGAAAACAGACCCTGTGAAGTGGAGCCGCTTGGAATAGTTAATGAGGCAAAAGTATCTGCTCACAGGAAAGCTAAAAGTGTCAAGAGAGCCCCAAGGTGATAACTTATTTAATAGAGAATTAAGAACCGGGGGAGGCAAGAGGGCACCTGCCTCGGCATGCTGGCTCGAGGCTGCTTATTAAAGTCTAAATGATAACATCAAGTTAATTAGCAGGGGCAAAGGTGCCGTTCCATCTATTTTAAGTACCTCTGCTTGTTACAAAGGTCGTCGGCTGTCACAGGCGTTGCCCTTGCTGTTTGAGTCGGGCCAGGGCTGAGCGCTCTCCACGGTGGATTCCGTAATCACCGGTCGGATTCGGGGTTTTTATTTCATCGAAGGAGCTGCCGCCGTTTGCAGAAGGAGGACTGGAGAGCTCGGCTCTTACCGGCAAGAACAGCTGTGCACAAGCAGGGAGAGCAGGCTCCAGAAAAGAAAAGGGAATGGATGTTAGCCTCTGACGTGGATTTGAAAGGCCCTTTATTCTTCCCAACTCTGTCCCACCAGAGGCTGGGGGGTGGCTAGGACTCAAACTCTCAGCCCCCACCAGCTTCCTTGAACCCTTGACCCCAGCCTCTCAAAGTAGCTACCTTCTCCACCACACCACTGGAGGAGCCCTGCACCTGCTTGCAACAAAGACTATTCTATGTATCAGGCTTTTCATTCAGGGACTCTCCCGCCTACACCTGGGTTTGCCACAAACTCCCTGTAAGACCCCATGTGTCAGATTTGAAAGAACTCAGGGCCCACATGGCAAAGGCTCGAAGCCCATCATAGGAGCGGTGTTTTCTGATGAGCACAGGTCCCCTTTAGGCACCGAAATAAAGGCCAGACTTTTAGAAACACTTAGCAGCACTTAGCATCTGCCTGCCGCTCTTTAGGGTCAGATTTTACAAAAATCCCAGCACCCGATAGATACGCATCAAACCCGTTGGAAGCACCGGCCACTTTATCCAAGTGCCAGAATGAAAGGTGTCCTCTCTCCCTCCGTGGCCTCAGTTCTCCAGCTGTGAAATGGGCTAATATTGCTTCCAGCCCCCTTTTGTCTTGCCTGTTTTAGTTGTAAACTGTTCAGAGCAGGGACTCTTTTCCTAATGTGTCTGTGCAGCATTCAGCACAATGGGTCAGTTGTGGTCTCTAAGTGCTACTGGAATAAAATGCATAAAAGTAGGCCTGGGGGTGGAACTACACCCTTGGACTATGTCTACACTGGCATGATCTTGCACCAGAGATATGCAAATGAGGCTAAATGTGGAATATCGCCGAGCCTCATTTGCATATCTAATGAGCCACCATTTTGCGGAAGAGGTTCTTGCGCCAGAAGGAGCTGTTTACACTGCCCCTTCTTGCGCAAGAAAAACCCTCTTGTGCAATGCCGCTACGCTGATTATTTTCAGCAATAATGGCATTGCGCAAGAGGGTTTTTCTTGCGCAAGAAGGGGTAATATAGACGCTCCTTCTGGCGCAAGAGCCTCTTCCGCAAAAATAACGGCTCATTAGATATGCAAATGAGGCTCAGCGATATTCCACGTTTAGCCTCATTTGCATATCTCTGGCGCAAGACCTAACCTTGGGATGGTGCTCACAAAGAAGACAGAAGGAGGCTTCTAAATTCTGTTCTCTCATATCTCCCTGCCTCTTAAGAGCTGTCTCCACACGGGAACGGTGAAGGGAGGTTTCAATTGGGTGGGCCAAGTGGCAGCCGAGCCTTATGGGAAAATGCCAATGCATTTTCACCTCCTTCTGAGGAGTTTTCTGCAAATGCCAGGGACTGGCTCATGCTGTGACAATTTGAATGTGAGTTTAATAAACCCCACAAAAGCATTTCTCTCTAAGGAGAAGAGACTGGAAAAGCTGCGTAACAAGTCCGAGATGTGGGAGTCTTATCACAGACTTAGAAGGGACCCCAACACTCATCTTATCTAACTCTCTTCCCCCTCCCACACCCCCATCTAGACAGCTTGAGCTCCTTCCATTCATGTCTCTCCTCAGAAAAGGATGATTCCAGACAGTTTTAGGCAAATAAAATCCTTCTCTCTATCAGGTAAGATATCTTCATTGTAACTGAAGACCCTGCAATTTACCGTAGTGTTGGTTATTCATAATTTCCTACATCCATTGTCCTTAGAATCATAGAATCGTAGAACACTAGAACGGGAAAGGACCTCGAGAGGTCGAGTCCAGGCCCCTGCCCTCATGGCAGGACTCAGCATCATTTAGACCACCCCTGACAGGTGTCTATCTAACCTGCTTTTAAATATCTCCAGTGATGGAGATTCCACAACCTCCCTTCCTGGGGCATGTCACCTTGTCTCCACTTCCTGTCTCTTCACGTAACATAGTGTGACCTCACTTTCTTTGTGACATCACTTCCTTTCTTGAGATGGTGCTGACCTCCATGCCTTTCCTGTGACACCACTTGTCTTCCTGTGACACAGGAGTTGACATCACTTCCCCTCACCTCATATCCCACTGTGACTGACAGGGCCGGGGCTGGGCACAGCTGAGGGCGTCTGCTCAGGGCGAATTGCTCAAATTCAGGGATCGCTCTAGCCCCCAGACTGGAGACTTTCCCAAATAGGCCACAAACCAGCCCCACAGAGCACTTCAGCTGCCTTCCTGAAGCCTCATGATCAAAACCCCTCTGACACCCCAGCAATATCCGTGCCCCAGATGGCCCCGGGCCTCATACACAGGTGAGGGGTCTTAGAACCTCATCTCACCTACCCCAAACAAGTCTTTATAATATCGAGCTGGAGGACTTCTTACGCTCATTTCATGAGGCGTAAGGAGTAAGAGCATTCCTCCTTCGACTTCCTGCTGTGTAGACAGTGCCAAAAGCCGAATGAAGCTATTTCGATTCAAGCTACACAATTGATGTAGCTGAAGTTGCGTAGCTTAACTCAATTTTAGCCCTGTGGTATAGATGTACCCAAAGGGACTTATGATGAGCAATTTGGTGGGGACAGACAAGGGGCTGTTCGATGACATTAAAAGGCAGCACATCCAAAAGAAACACTTTCCCCACACACGTGACATTTGACTGTGGAACCCCCAGCCACTGGAAGTCGCGAAAGTCTAGAACTTAAGCCTCAAAAAGGAGCCGAAAAAAATAACAATGGTCTGGTAGCACTTTATAGACTAACAAAACATGTAGCTGGTATCATGAGCTTTCATGGGCATATGGGCTGTGCCCACGAAAGTTCATGATACCAGCTACATGTTTGGTTAGTCTATAAAGCGCTACCAGACAATGTGTTGGTTTTTTTCTGTAACAGACTAACTTGGCTACCCCCTGAAGCTCCAAAAAGGAGCTTTTCTATAGAAAAGGCTCTCCTGAAGCTTCATTTTTGAGAACAGAAATGCCAGCGGCGCTATTAAAACTTCTAATTCTGTAGCCAACATCTAATGATGAGAGATCACTATGAGCCCTCTGGAAGGGGCAGATGACATCAGCTTTGTTTCTTGTGTGCGGCTACCATCAGAGACAGGACACCGGACTAGATGGGCCATAGAATCATAGAACCCTAGAACTGGAAGAGACCTCAGAAGGTCATCAAGTCCAGCCCCCTGCTCTAGGCAGGACCACCTACATTCCGATGCCTCCCTAGCATCTGGAATGGGTGGGCGCCATCAACCCAAGTTTTTTGTGAGAGCGGAGGAGCGCTCCCGTCCTGCGGTTTATCTCCGCTGCATCAGGCAGCCAGGCCTTTATCCCTCATGCCGACGCCCTGCGTTGACAAAAAGCAGGTTGTTTAAGACGAGAGGCTTAGCGTGTTTCCCGCCACACCGCCCTGCCGCACCCCCCGCCACAAATACGTACCACCCAACGCTACAATGCATTCAGCAGCACAGTAGGGGTGCGCTACCTGCGTGGAACTGGCGCATCAGGACAGGAGATAGAGTCTTATCTCGGATATAAATATTTAGCGGTGCAGCCGGTATAATCGGCGTAGCAGCTGGAACAGTCGGAGAAGGTATAATTACACCTACGTGCACAGGGGGGTGTTGAGTCACACAACGGATCCATTCCACCGTGCTGATGGGGAATGCACGGCAGTTCACCGGTGGGGGGTCGCTAGTCGGACCCAGAATAGCTCACAGAATGGGGGAGGGGGGATGGGAGTGAGACTTGGAAACCTTAGAACATTTATCGTCACAGGGGTGTCCCTCCCCCCCGGTGCTATCGGAGGTCACAGTGGCTCCAAGCCTCATGGTGCTGGGACATATTGGAAATTATGAATATGGGAGGCCAGACACTAATTTAACCATAAATTCCTCAAGTCCAAAAACCAAATGATATAGAATCATAGAACTGGAAGGGACCTCGAGAGGTCATCAAGTCCCGCCCCCTGCCCTCGCAGCAGGACCAAGCACTGTCTAGATCATCCCTGAGAGATGTCTATCCAACTTGCTCTTAAATATCCCCAGCAATGGAGATTCCACAACCTCCCTAGGCAATTTATTCTAGTGCTTCACCACCCTGACAGGGAGGAAGATTTTCCTAATGTCCAACCTAAACCTCCCTTGCTGAGTTTGAGCCCATTGCTTCTTGTCCCAATCCTCAGACTTGCTCTTCTGGCATGCTATTGAGTGGGTCTAATAAAGACCTGCTCAATCGCATGCTGAGGGCACTGCCCTCCACACTAAGGCCATGCCAGAGATTGATCTTCTGGCATGCGATTGAGCGGGTCTAGTAAAGACCCACTCAATCGCATGTAGAGGGCTTAGCCAATCGGTGCCGGTACTTCTCGCAGTCACGAGGAAGAAGGGAAGCCAATGAGTGCATTTATTCCCACTGACCTCCCATTGTGAAGACAGCACCAGGCTCATCTTAAACAAGCCTATCTATGTTGTTTATGTAGCTGGGGTTGCGTAGCTTATGACAACCTTCTGGGCCTTATATAGACCTGGCCTATGACCATGTACCGCCTTTGATAGGTACAACACAACTATGCCCTGCTCCGCATGCTGTGCCCAGGGCTGGCCTTACCATGAGGCGAACTGAGGTGGCCGCCTCAGGTGCCAGATTATAGGGAAGTGCCACTAGGACCCAGAGTGTAGAAAATTGTGTTTGCTGCTGGTGCATCTGTATTCTGTCTGCTCTAGACGCACAGAGATGGCGAAGTGCTGTGCTGGAGGAAGGAGGGCAGAATTGAGACCTTACAAAGTTTTGGCCCAAGCGAGGGGGCATCGGGGCGCCATTTGAGCTCCCCACCTCAGGTGCCAAAAAGTTGTGGGACGGCCCTGGTTGTGCCTTTGAGTTACAAGCGTGTTCCAGCATGGCACTTACCACGCCTCCTCCCTCCAATGGGAAGTGACTGCGACGGCAGAGCAACTGAAATAGTGCAGCTCGGATTGTTGTTCCGTGGGGCGGGGAGGTCTCTGTGCTGAGGAGGAACCCGCCAAGTTCGGGAGATGCAACTGCCGGGTCTCGGCTGCACGCTGAGCTGGGCTCTATTAACACCCGGCCTGGGTATCTTTGCTCATGCCGGGCTGTCTGCTTGGGGGGGAGGGAGGGAAAACGCCTCAGTGAGGTTGCAGCCTCCTCAACTGCTGTGAAGTGGGAAATACAGACGCGTAGGAGTAAGTCTTCCTGCAGCGGGGCCGTCCCTGGAGCCAAGGAAGCAAAGCGTGGCCTTGTGAGCCCTCATGAGCAGGGCTGAGTCCAGCAGTGTCCACGGACCTGGCTGAAAATCGAGGGTTTCCATTGGCTGTTGAAAGGGGGTGTCAAAGTTTCCCGAACGCTACCTCAGCCCAAACGAGGGTCCTCATTTTGGAGCAGGGACCATCCTTTTGCTCTGGGGCCAGGTCTATGCTCCGGGGGAAGGTCAATAACGCAGCTGGGGGTCAACATATCTTAAACCAAACTTCAGCGTTGCTCCCCCGGCAGGAGGTCGACAAGAGAAACGCTCCTGCTGACTCCCCTTCCTCTGCAGAACAGCGAGGAGTCCCGGGAGTGCTGGGGTGCCCTCGGCGTTTGAAGTAGCAGGTCTACACTAGACAGCTCTCAGTCCATAGTTCCACGGCTACCCCCAAAGTTCAGGAGAGCGCACTCACCACTGGCCTGCTCCCCCGTGGC